ATAAAATAAGATAAAATAATAAAATAAAATAGGGGCACCTGGGTGGCTTAGTCAGTTAAGCGTTTGCCTTGTGATCTCAGAGTCCTGGGACCAAGCCCTGTGCTGGGTTCCCTGCTCAGCAAGGAGCCTGCCCTCCCTCTCCCTCTGCCTCTGCCTTACCTGTACTCTCTCATGTTCTCTCTCACTTTCAAAATAAATAAAATCTTCTTTTAAAAAGTATATTTTAAAAATGACAGATAAATAAAGTTGGGTAATCATAGTGTAAGGGGCATTAATTTCTCTTACCTTCTTTCTTTTCTTCTTTCATCCATCCTTTTATCTAGAGCTGCATAAATAGCATCTGCTTCCTCATCGTCTTTTTCATAGGGCCCACTTGAGAAGAGGCTCCCAGCATAGCCATTAAACTAAGCACAAAACAACACGGAGGGTCAGCTTTTCCTCCAACACAATCCCCTCGAGCAGAGTGTTAGAAAATGCATGCTGAGTAATTGTTTCCAATCAGACAACCCCAAATGAGGGAAAGCAAAATGACTCACCAGTGTTCTACAACTGGGGGGTGGGGTTAGGGGCACCTGGGTGGCTCAGCTGGTTGAGCATATGACTCTTGATTTTGGCTCAGGTCATGATGTCAGGATCATGAGATGGAGCCCCACCTTGGGCTGTGGGATCCGCAGGGAGTCTGCTTCAGATTCCCTCTCCCCGAAAAGGGGAAACTCTCACACTGTCGGAATGCAAGGGGGTGCATCCACTTTGGAAAACAGCGTGGAGGTACCTCAAAGCGTTAAAAATACAGCTGCCCTACGACCGAGCACTTGCGCTATGGGTATGTTCCCCAAAGATACCGATGTAGTGAAAAGGGGCAGGCGCACGCCAATGCTCATAGCAGCAGCGTCCACGAGAGCCAAACTGTGGAAGGAGCCGAGACGCCCTTCAACAGACGGATGGATAAAGCTGTGGTTCATGTTTGTGAGGAATGTTACTCGGCCTCAGAAAGGAAGAACGCGAGCCACCTGCATCAACATGGACCAGACTGGAGGAGATTTGCGGAGTGAAGTAGGTCAATCAGGGAAAAACAATTATATGGTTTCGCTTATTTGCATAACATAAGGAGTAGCATGGAGAACGTTAAGAGAAGGGAGGGAAACTAAAGGTGGGGATCAGAGGGGGAGTGGAACCACGAGAGACTATGGACTCAGGGAATCAAACGGAGGGTTTTGCGGGGGGTGGAGGGTGAGCCTGGTGGTGGGTATTAAGGAGGGCACGGATCGCATGGAGCACTGGGTCCATGGGATATGCGAACAGTGAATCCCAAAATACTACGTTAAAAGTTAATAACGTACTTCACAGTGACTAATATAACAAAACATTTTAAAAGATCCTCTCTCCTCCTCCGTCTGCCCCTGCCAACTGTGTGTACGCATGCACTCTCTTTCTCTAAAAAGTAATAAAAATAAACCTTTAAAAAAAAGGTGTCTGGGGCGCCTGCGTGGCTCAGTGGGTTAAAGCCTCTGCCTTCGGCTCAGGTCATGATCCCAGGGTCGTGGGATCGAGCCCCGCGTCAGGCTCTCTGCTCGGTGGGGAGCCTGCTTCCTCCTCTCTCTCTGCCTGCCTCTCTGCCTACTTGTGATCTCGGTCTGTCAAATAAATAAATAAAATCTCCAAAAAAAAAAGGTGTCATGGGCATGAAGGATGGAGGGGCTACCCCAATGGGAAGACACTAAGAGACACAAGTACATGAGACGCAGGGTCCTGGATCAGAAACGGCACCAGTGAAAAACCGGTGGAATTCAATAAGACCCACCGAGCAGACGACCTTGCCATGTCCTAACTGTACTGAAGTCCTGCAAGACGAGGAGAAGCTTTGTGGAGGGTGCGCAGGAATTGCCTACACTACTTCTGCAAGCTCCCTGGAAGTTTCAAATCCTTTCCAAACGGAAATTTTACAAATCTTTATCTCTGAGCAGAACTGTCGGGACACATCTGACGAAGACCTCCACTGCCAAACCCCAGTGACGTCAGAGCGCGCACGGAGACGAGATACATCAAGCATCATCGCTAACGCCACTCAGAATTGCATCGAGGACCCGCCGAGCCAAGCCCAAATGCCAGAGCATCTCTCCTGCAGAAACAAAACGCTCATTTCTTTCCCTGACCCTCTCCCCTCTCACACTCCGCTGAAGACACCCTGGAAACGGGCTGAAACCCTAGGCGCGTCCGCCGCCCCGAGCACTGCTTAAGAGGCTGGTGGGCCTTCCTGAGGCCTGGCTGGGCGCACCGCAAGTCACCTCATCATAGTTGGTGTCATTCAGGTCCTCGTCATCGTCATCGGCAGCCTGGCTTTTCTTCATCTGGTCCCCGACGGTCCTCTTGCCTGGGGGCGCGTGGCGGTCATCCACAGGGTCATTCGCATCGCGGGCGGGCCCAATGTCTGACCGGGTGGTAAAGCCAGTGGCACTGCAGGAGACCCCAAGACACCCATTCACCCGGGTGACCTTGTTCCTTTGCTCTCCCCTGCACGGTCCTCACTGAACCACACCTCTTCCTCTAACGTCGCTGAGAAACTGCGGAAGACGCAGGAACAGCGAACGAGGCCCGCTGTGCTCTCCAACATTACCAGCGTGTTCTCTTCAGGTGAGAAACTCGTGACCTACCCTGAGGAGGGCACCACCCCACACTCTCCTTAACAGATTCACCAGAGCATCAGCCCCCCTCCTCCCAACGTCCAGCCTCCCACTTCTGACAACCTGATCATCCCCCCAGCCGGCCCTCAAACCCAGCCTGGCCCCGTGGGATTCATCCTGCAGCGGCCCTAGGCTCTCTCAGCTGACGGCTGCGACATCCCAGAACCACGGCAGGCACGACAGCCTCAGCTCTGCCTCCCCTCGCCCTCCTTCTCCCCGCCATCAGCCATCAAGCTCTGCGGACCCCACCTGTGAAATCCGTCCTCCCCAAACCTGGACTCCCACCACAGCTGGGAACCAAGTAGCCACCCTGCCTCCAGCCTTCCTGTTGCTTCAGCCCAGCTCTGACCAGCGCACTTGGCAGCCTCAGTCTCTCCGGCAGCTCTGGCCCCTCCGACCCCACTCCCCGAACACTCCAATCACACAAACTCTTTCAAAGTCCCTCCTCTTCCTCCACGCCGGGCCTTTTTCCCCTTAGCTACCCAACACACAAAGCGTCAGCTGCTCCTCTGACCCTACCACGTTTCTAATCCCTAAATGCAGCTCTTCTACCAAGGTAGGGCTCGGCCGCTGCGGCTCCACAGAGCATCCCCTGATGGCTGCGACTCCCAGACGTCCCACTCTGCTCCTTCCCGTGGACTTAATAACGCAAACCTCGCCCATCTCCGAGCAGACTGCAGGCCCTTGGAAGAAGGTGTCCGCGAGTAAGACCGTGTGTTCCCCACAGAGGCTGACACCACACCCCGCAAGGAAACCCAATGCTCGTCCTAAACAAATCAATGACCAGACAGACAGAACGACGGTGGCCGCCCATTTATTGGACAGTTTACGGAGACCCGGTCCCAGGCCTCGCACACGCCGTCCTGCCGGGGCTGAGCGTTTCTCCGCTGCAGGACGAGCAGCAGCGCAGGCGAAGCACGGCTCGCGCTTCAGACGACGTGGGCGCCCACGGGGCTCCGCCACAGCTCGAGGAGTCGCCCACTCGCGTCTCAGAGGCCGAAGGCGGCTGAAGCCGAGCCTCCTCGGCTCCGTCCTGGCCCCGAAGCGCAGCCCCAGAGCCGCGCCCGCGCTTCTCCTCCCGGTGGCACCGCGCGGCCTCCCCCAGGACGAGCGCGGGGAGCGAGCCCAGCGCGCGGCCCTCCCCGCCCCGGGGCCCGCCGCGCGCCCCCGCCCCCCGAGCGCGGCTCGCCCCAGGCCTCACCCCCGGCCCAGCCCCGGCACGTAGCCGAGCGGCGCGGGCATGCCCAGGAACGGTTTCTTCTTCTTGTTCATGGCGCCGGTGATGACGAGGGGCCGGGAAGGGACCGGACGGAAGCCGCGGCCGCAGGCTGAAAAGACCACGGACCACCCCGGTTTCTCAGCAGGAAGCGCCGGCGGGACCAGCGTCACCCGCAACCCGGAAGCAGAGCTCGCGGGGCGCACGAGGCCCCGCCCACCCTGCCGTCCCCCGGGCGGAAGTTCCTGAAGAGCGACTTCCGGCCGCGTCGGCGGCGAGGGGATGTGACAGACGCATGCGCGAGGCGCCTGACCGTGAGGAGGTGTGCGGGCTACCCTGCTGGAGACGTGCAGGAGCTGCAGCCTCCGGGAGAAACCCTGCGGGGCCTCAGAACTGAGCCCGGGGCCGCCGTCCTCTCTGCGCGCCCGTACTGCGTGCACGTACTCCCCTACGAGCGGGACCTGTGACCCCCCCCCAGGCACCCCCGCCGCCCAGGACCCCTCGGAATCATGCCTAGCCGTTCGCCTCCCCTCAGAGTTGTGCTGGCCCCTGGGCTGGCCTAAGCCGTCCGGGCGGAGCCGCTCCCCTGTCCGGCCGTGGACGGCTGCTGCGGGTGTGCGTCACGACAGTGAGCGCACCCATCTGCGTGTGCCCCGGTGTGCGGGCTCGAGCTCTCGGCGCCCAGATTGCGGAGCCGCGGCTCGGGCCCGGATCCCGGGCCAGGCTCCGCCGCCACCGCCAGACCCTGAACGTGGCGGGGAGGGCGGAGGTGCAGCCCCTGGAAGGCGAGTTGGCGGGAATAAGTAAATGTGGGCGGCGTGCGGACCCCGGTGCTGGCCTCCGCGCGAGTCTCTAGAGTGTGTCGCGGGCTCGGGTGCGGGTCGGACGGCCTTTGCTCCTGCTCCGGGTGGACACACGCGTCTCCGTGCACCTTCGCTCCTTCCGCTGCGCGACCGCCTCCGGCCTTCCGACCAGGCGGCCCCCAGCACCCCCCCCCCCCCCCCCGCCCCCTCCCCCCGCCCCCGGGGCGCCCCCCCCCGCCCTCCCCCCCCGGGGCCCCCCCCCCCCCCCCCCCCCCCGCCGAGCCCTTCGCGTGGAGCCCTGGAACCGACACATCCCTCTGGCCTGCCGCGGCCTCTGCGGGGCTCCTCGCTCCCCCCATTCCCAGCCGAACGGCTTTCAGGGCCGCCTCCTGGGTGCCGACTCAGAGTCCGGGCCACAGCGGGAAGGGGGAGACCCTGCCTGGCGGCCTTCCCGGAGCTCGCGTTGTGGGGGGGTTCAGCCGGGGTCTAGGGAAGCAAGCGCGCGTTTGAGGGCGAGAGCTCTGGAGAACGCGTGAACGAAGGGGTGAGTCCGTAAGCTGAGGGAGGAGAGTGGAGGGAAATGGTTGAGGGGCCGGTCTGGCCATTGATCCTGGGCCCCGGTGGACAGACCATCCCAGGAGCAGGCAGGACGCTCCTCTCCTGCCCCCTCCCTCCCCGCGGGGAAGATCACTTCCTTATTTCCTTGCCTCGGAGGCCCCTCCAGACGTCTAGACCCCCTAAAGGTGCCCAGAGTCACTTGTCCTTGAAGGCGTGCCCAGGTGTGCGAGGTCGCCCCTTACCCGGGCAGACACCGTTTGCATACGCAGACCTGCGCGCCGCCGACACACCTCGGAGCTCCCGGAGCGCGCCCGGCTCTCAGGACTCACAGGCAGGTGCCTCGCCGCGCAGACTCGCCGGGCGCGGGGACCGGCTCGGGCGCGGGGCCGGCTGGGGCGGGGCAGCGGTGCTTGTTCCCCGCCGGCCACACCGGCCGCCTTGCGCCCGGCGAGGGGCGTGTGCTCGGGCCCGGAATCCTTGGGCCCCATGTTCACGGAGCTGAGGACCAAGCTGAGCCCCCCGCGAGGCCGCGCCGGGGCTGTGCGTGCCGGCTTCGCGGAGCGCCGGGATGTGGACGGTGAGCAGGGCTGGACCAGGGCGCGGGGATATCGCGGGTTGGGGGCTCGGGAACCGAGGGGGAGGGGGCGGGATCTGGAGGACTCCAAGCTGCGGTTTGGCGCGGAGTGGGGGGGCGCGTCCTGGCCGAACGGGGTCCCTGGTGTCTTTGTCTTGAGCTGGGGGGGTTGGCCTCAGGCCTTTGGGGATCAGCACATCCTTGGCCTGGAGGAGGGTACCGGCTGGGGCTCCTCTCCTTAAACTGGCACCATCCCGCGGTCACCTTTTCCTTTGCGCGCCCTTCCTTCCCTAGCTCTTGCGGTGGGGCCGCGAGAGGGTCGAGGCCACAGCCCGGCTTGGGCGCCCCCGCCCCATTTTATGCTGGAATCCTGACGTTGGGACTAAGAGGGAGGGACGTAACGACGGGCCGACAGACGGAAAGAGGGAGATCCTACTCGGAGTACCGGCAGGGAATGGGCGGGGCCCGGCTGGAACCGGACAGGTGAAGCGCGCGGCGGCGTCCCACTGGTTCGCCCAGAGCTTCACGCTCCTGCCTTGACCGGGCCCGGCTCTGCGAGGCCCTGCCATGTGAGGCCAAGTGGCTGAGGAACCTGTGCCCTGAAAGATGCCAGCTTAGAATAAGTCTTTTCCTATGATTTTAGAAGCCACATCTGGGCAGCGACCACACCAGCCAGACCTACTGTTTGACCCCGGACCTCAAATTTAGAGTAACCCGCGCTGATTCAATTCCCTGAGGTTGCTAGAAAGAAGAGGGGTGCTAAGTCCAAGGAATCTTAAGGAGTAAGGGGGGGTAATGCGTTTTCCCCATTACTGAGACCTCCTGGGCACTTCCCCAAACCCTGCCCTCAGTTGGGGGTTTGGGGTGTGTCCATGGGGGCGGTGTCTCTCATTGTACCGCTTGAGAGCCAGTGAGGCAAAGGCCCTGGCCAGGAACCTGCTACTGCCTGCTGAGTTGGGACCTAGATGTCGTAGAGATGAAGGCAAGCCTGCGCTTGTCTTCCACCCTCTGCCAGGCTCTACTGACTGGTGGACACCACACAGAGCCTTTCTCCAACCACCCATCCATCCACAATGTTTCTGGACACCTCCGGCCTGCCAAGACCTGTGCAAGGGCTGGGAAGTGACCATTCAGGTGTCTGCCCTCCTGTGACCCGTGTGAGCAACATGCACAGGAATGATGGGAAAATTACAACTTGAGGAGAATCATGAAGTGTGTGTGGGAAGAGAGGGCGCAAGGTGTCACTGTGGCTCCCCGAGCCTGTGCTTGGGCCCTGCACCCTTGCACAGAGCAGCCCATGCCCACTGGACACCCACCATGCACAGAAGCTGTCCTGGGCCAAGGGCCCTATGGCGGGTAGAAGAGCAGGAATCTTGGCTGCCGGCTTGCCCAGAGTTCATTCAGGCTTCTCGTGGATGGGTTGGCAGATGAGCACAGCTGGGCAGGAGCCGAGCCTCAGATGCCAGGTGTGGCCACAGAAACTGGTTGCCTTCCGTGGTGATGGGCAGGCGGCGTACTCAGACGGTCGCCATCATGCAGGATCTCCCGGGACATAGGAGCCTGGTCTGGTTCCCTGAACCTGATCTGGTTCAGCCTGTGTCAGCCCAAAGCAAGGGTGACATGAGGCCTGTCTCAGGATAGCCCCTCACCAGGCTGTGGGTCTTACGCTCCCTGATGGGCACACTGGCTCTCTAATCAAAGCCGAATCCAGCCCACTCCTCAGAATACAGACGATGCGTTCAGACGAGGAAAGAGGCTCCTAGTTTGTCGTGTTGGGACTGCGTGCGGTACTAAAGACAGCTCTTGCACATTTCTGTTCCACCTTTGGGGGCTTGGGACCCTCTAACTGAGAAAGTGGCTCTCCTCCGTTGGAGGGTGTGTTGAGCAGGGAGCTGGTGTGCAGAGAGGTGATCGTCTGGCCCTGCCCCAGCCACTCTGATCAGGCACCCATGCTCTGCAGCCGCTGCCCATTTGAGCTTCTGCCGAACCCTCCTGGAACACACGGTGTCTGCCGAGAGCATCCCCTGCCACCTCCCTCGGACACCAGGCACCAGCCTCACGTGGCATGATTCCCGTAGCCAGAGGGCCGCCGGTGGCCGGCCAGTCAAGCTCCTGCAGCAGCCGGGCACGGAAGCCCCCCAGGTACCCACCCACCATACCCACCTCAGCCCCTGCCTTTCCCATCCCCTCACCGCAGCTGCTGCCTGTCTCGTCCACAGGCCCGGCTGTACTCTGACCACTACGGCCTGTACCACACAAGCCCCTCCCTGGGTGGCCTGACAAGGCCCGTGGTCCTGTGGAGTCAGCAGGACGTGTGCAAGTGGCTCAAGAAGCACTGTCCCCACAACTACCTCGTCTATGTGGAGGCCTTCTCCCAGCATGCCATCACAGGTGCCCTTAAGGGCTGGGGGGAGGCAGCCCTTGTTCCCGCTCTCCTCTGTTTCCTGCGGGGCCAACCCCTCCTTCTAGGGCTGTCCCTTCTCCCCGGTGTGTTCCTCTGTTCTCCTGGCTTCCCTCCGCCCTGGCCCTGCCTGCCATCCTGGTGCCTCTCAGCCTCCTTCCCCGTCTCTTTCTGTGTCTCTGCCTCTCTTTCTCCGTCCTCGTCCTTGGGCCTGTCTGTGTCCTCCTCCCCTTTCTCTCTCTCTGCCCCTCGGACGCTGACCTTGGCTCGATCTCAGGCCGGGCGCTGCTGCGGCTGAACGGGGAGAAGCTGCAGCGGATGGGGCTGGCGCAGGAGGCCCAGCGGCAAGAGGTGCTGCAGCAGCTGCTGCGTCTGCAGGTGCGCGAGGAGGGGCGGAGCCTGCAGCTGCTCAGCCAAGGTCAGTGGGGGGGGGGGCGGGCAGAGAGATGTGGAGGGGGAGGCCCTCTTGTGCGCTAGGTGGGCTGAGCTGGGCGGGGCGGGGAGTGGAGCAGCTGTAGGACGCCAGCAGGAGCCGTCCTGTGCCCAGGGCAGAGGGAAGGTGCCAGCGATCTGCACCTCTCCTCGTCCCCATCCACCCCATAGCCTCCTTCGGAAACACGTCCTAGCCGCTGCGTGAGGCTCGAACCCCAGACCCCAGCACTGTGACCAGAGCCTGTGGCAAGGGCGATGCAGAGCTGGCCCACAGCCCCTCTCGGACCCCACCAGAGGCGCCAGGGGCTGAGCCCAGCCCAGTGGACAGGTGGGACCAGGATTGCCATCTCTGGTTGTGCATTCTGGGCTGTGAGCAGGTGGGGGCTGCTTGGGTGTGGTCCTTCCTCCGGGGACCTGAGCCCAAATCCACCCTTGGTGCTGCTGGCAGCATGTGGGGCAGCTACCTGGAGCCAGAGCAGGGTCTGGTGACCCCCCCCCAGCCTCCCAGGGAGTCTATTATTTATATTCCCCTAACCCACACCCATGCCTGTGCCCCTATTGCCTGCTGAGTCACACTTCCTTTGGGCATCCTGCCCGCCCCCAGGGCGAGAGGTCTGTCTGTCTGCCCATTTGTCTAGTTCTCCACCCTAACCCAGCACTTAGAGGATTGCCGGCACAAGGGGGATAAACTGTGGAGGCTCCCTTTGGCGCGTGCCCCCCCATCCAGATCACAGCAGCCACTGCCGCCAAGAAGGCCCCTGTGATTTCTGAGACCCTCACCCCACCCCCACCCACTCCCAGGAACCGAAGTGAGAGAGGTCTGGGGACTGCTCAGGCACCCGGGACCTAACTCAGCACCACGAGGGCCCCACAGCCAGGATTGGGCTCAGTTGGGTTGCAGCCTTAGGTTTGGGAACCTGGCTCCCGCTCCTCCCACATTGGGGAGCATGTGTATTCTCACTGCTCCTTTCCCAGGAAAATCCGAATTCACAGAAGAGACAGTCCTGAGGCCTGCATCCCCCACACCCACCCACCAGAGACCCAGCCAGCGCCTGAGCCACCACTCCATGGGCCAGGGGGCTCATGGTTTGGGCCTGGTACTGTCTGGAGAAGGACAGGGAGGGTGGTCCTGATAGCCCCCCACCCTCTGGCTCCTTTGCCTTTCCCCTCCCTCAGAAACTCTGAAAATCTCGGGGCCACATGAGGCTGAGCCTCCAGCCTCTTCTCTGTGCCCTGAGCTGGCCTCCAGGTGGGAGGCTGGTTACAGGAAGCCCCCGTGTCCTGTCTGGCCACCCTGATTGTCCCAGCCCACCCTGTGCCATCACAACGTTGTCTTTTCCGGAGGATCTTTCCTATCACTGCCCCACCTTCCTCCTTTGTCTTGCCCCCCATGCCCCCATGCTCTTGTCTTGTCTTCTTTGTTTTGCGCTTTTTTATATTCTGACCAAAAGACCAGAAATAAACCCGGTTCTCAAGTGCCCCAAGTGTGTGTTCGGCTTCAGCCAACTGGGTGTTTGAGAGCGGGAAGAGCCCTGGGAGGGGAGCAGGAGGGGCCCTGGTTGGCATCGGGGCAGGAAGTGCCCAGTGCCCAGTTCAGGTCCCTCCGCAGGGCCACTAGGGGGCAGTGGTGTCACATCTTGACAGGGCACCTGTTTACCTCAGGACCAGGTGGGGAGGAGAGGCAGAGGCTGGAACCCTGGGCTCAGCCCTGTGGACTGCACCCAGACGCAGGGACATAGGTGCGTTACTTTCTGGGGGCCGCCAGGACAAAGGACCACAACCGGGAAGCTTCTCACAGCGGAAACAGATTCTGTTCTGGCCATGCAGGCCACGGGTCTGAAACCCAGCAGGGTCACACTGCCTCCTGGAGCACAGGGTAGAGCCTTCCTCACCTTTCCCAGCTTCTGGTGGCTGCCCCAGGGATTCCTGGGCTCTGGCGTGTCACTCCGGCCCAGCCTCTGTGCTCACGTCACCTTCTATGTCAAATCTCCCTCCCACGGGGAAACCTGTCACGGGATTTAAGGCCCCCCTGGACAGTCCAGGATGGTCTTCTCATCTCAAGACCCTTCACTTCAGCAGATCTGCAAAGACCTTTTTTCCAAATAAGGTCGTATTCATGGGTTCCAGGGATTTGACATGGCAACCTTCCAGGGTCCCCATTAAGCGCCCTGCACAGGGTAACGCTCTGACATAAGAAACAGGTCACAACACCCCCGACACAGGTACCCACACAGCAATCAGACACATGGTAATAGAGAGGCCCAAACTGACCCCTGGAGTCTGGACACAGAAACATGGACGCTGGTATCCAGAACCACAGTACGCCCTGACGCAGTGATCCCCTAATGTACCAAACACAGGGGGCACAGCACACAATGCCCTGACATCCAGACACGCTGTAGCCTAGACACCCACCTGCTAAGACACAGGAGTCCCTCCACCCGCACACGTCTTGCAGCTGGTCATCCAGATACTAACATACTAACAGGCATCCTTCTCTCCTAGTGCAGGACACACAGACATACCCTGACATCAGGTGTCCACACGGACACAGCCCAGCACATGTGGTCACTCAGACACACACCTACTAATGGGCATGGTTACACACGTGGACATGCAGACTTACACGGGGAAAGGTGACAAGAAAGCTGTCTGCATCTCATGCACAGACTGACCCCTCCCCAAATCCTGCAGGTCCTGCCCCCAGTGTGGGCATGCTCAGTAAGAGAAGGACGGGCCCTCCCTCTTCCTCCTGGGGTCACATGGGCCTTTCTCCAGCTCTGATTTTCCAGGAAGGTCCAACCTCCTGAGTCCTCCACAGAGGGCCCCCACCCCTCTCTCTGGGAGCACTTTGTGCCGGACACTAGAGAAGCAAGAGTCCTGTGAGGAGAGGCAGACCCTAATCTGACCTTTTGTGCTCTGCCCCCTAGCAACGCACCCAACCTGTTCCAGGGCAGACAGGGGTGAAGTGGGGATTGGAATAGGGGGTGGGAGACACTTGGAGAAGGCAGTGCACACTGTAACCATGTCCCACCTAGTACCTCTTCCGCTGCTCCATTTTTTCCCAACTCCTGGTAGGGTTGGGGCCCCATTTCCCCCAGACCTGATACCGGGGTGCCCTCCCAGGCCCGGGTTCTGGGGCCCTGCCGAGCAAAACGCAACTGATCTAGGCTCACCCCCACCCGAAGCACCCGAAGCAGAGGCTGCTCCAATGGTCAGTAGCCCCAATAGGGTCCATGGCCTTAAACTGCCTAGCACTGCTAGGAACTGGGCGGAGCCCTGACTGTGGCCACAGACAGAGGTGGTCGAGGGGCTCGTTGGAAGACCCTCAGACCCTGCTCTGCAGCCGCAGGGCTCCCAAGTGCCAGGGATTCGGCTCCCAGAGGACGGTGGTCTCCATGGCTGCAGCTTCCCAGAGCCAGCACCTAGAGGCATCTGCTCGCTTCAGTCCGGGTACGCGGAGCTTTGGGCAGTTCCCAACACCCCTATAGTGCCTCAGTTTACCCCACTGCCTGAAAAACGCCCCCTGCCCTACGGGGCGGCATAACTGGCCACTTCGCACTGGAGCCCCAGCCGACCGCGGCCCCCGGGCCGGAGGCCGGGGGCCGGGGGCCGGGGGAGGGGTCGGGCCGACCGGCCCCCTCCCTCCCAGCTGTTCCTCCCCGTCGCGGAGCGGCCTCAGGAATACCGCGAGAGTTCGCCCCCTCCCCCCCACAGTAAAACTGTCAAAGGTGGGAGGGGCGGGAGCGCGCATGTGCGCAGCGCGGCGCGCAGCCTGCGCCGCCCGGACCCCGCGCCCCGCGCCCAGCGCCCCGGCCCCGGCCCCCGCCCCGGCCGCCGTCCCGCTGGGCGCCGCAGGTAAGCTCCCGGCCGCGCCCCGGGCGGGACCCCTTGGCAGCCCTCGCTCGGCCGCGTTCCCGACACTGACCCCGCGCACAGGTCGGTGTGGGGGGGGGGGCCGGGCCCGGAGCCCCCGCCCCCCGCCCCCCCCCCCCCCCCCCCCCCCCCCCCCCCCCCCGTGCCCGCGATCGGGCCCTTTCGGGGCCAGGCCGGAGCCCCACACCCGGGCCGCAGGTGACAGGTGGGTGGCAGGGCCGGCCTCCAGGTGTGTGTTCCCTGGCCAGCCTCATCCGTGCGCCCAGCCTGGGCCCCGGTTCTGCGCCGGCGTTGCTTGTGGCGCCCCCTCCCCCCTGCGAGGGTCCCACCTCGGCGACCCATCCGGGCCCTGAGGCAGGGTGGAATCCCTTTTCCTCCTGTTGTTCAAGTGACAGGTCCTGGGTAGAAAGAGGGTGTCTGTCTCTTGGGGCAGCCCTGGCCCCAGCCCCCCAACTCTGAATTCTCCACCCAAGCTGGAAACTGGAAAGTGGGTTCTTGGCAGGCACCCCCACCCCAGGCTGCTGGAGTCATCAGGGGCTGGGGTGATCGGACGCTGGCAGGTGTCCTTTAGAAGTCTCCGTGTGAGGACTTCAGAGAACTTTGCTTAGGGCCGGGGAGACCCGTACCTCCACCCAGGCTTAGGAGGTAGAGGGCAGTGACTGCCCTTACCTTGACCTCAGCCTTTGGATCCCCTCTAGGCCTGGAGTTCTTCCCCATCTCCTCTGGTCTAAGTTAGTTGGGAACTGCCAGAGGAGGGGCCCCCTGTCCACGCAACTGTCCCCAAACCCCTTCCTGTGGCCTTGGGTGTCCCTATGGGAGGATCTAGTAGGATCTAAGCTCAGAGTCCCTTCCCCCAGCTCTCAGGGTATGGGGTCCCCCAGCAAAACGGGCCTATGGAGGCTCAGCCTTGGCCAGTGAGGTGTTCGCTGTGGCCAAAGGCTGGTGGTCTCTGGAGGAGTGGTACTGGTGGGCCTGTAGGTGGGGGCCAGAGAGGCTTTTAACTGGGGAGGTGGGGAGGAGGTCAGCCAGGTAGAGGGTTGGCTGAAGGATTCCTGTTGGAGATAAGGTTGAGAAGAGGGTCGATGGGATGGTTTGGCTGGCATGGGGACCGGACCTGGGTGCTTATAGGATGCTCCGTCTTTGATCTGCCCCACACGCCCCTTGGGAAGTCGCTAATTTAGGGAGTAGGCTAGGGGTCCTCAGTGCCCATCTTGGCCATTTTCCATCTGTGTCCTGGAGAGAAGGATCGGGGGGTGCCCCCCCAGGTGGGGAGGCATTGCCTCCGGTCTGGGTGAGGCTGTGGAGGAAGGTGTCCAGGGTCCTAGGCCAGCACAGCATGTGAGCTGGCAGCCGTACTGGTGTCATAACTGGCCCTGGGGAGGGATGCTCTTCACCTCTTTCTTCCTGAACATTCCACCTATCTAGGGACCATCCCTAGTCCAGTAGCAGGTGTGATCCTTGGCACTCTCTGGGACTGTGTGTCTGGGGACAAGGGAAGTCTGTGGGAGCTGATGAGGGTCAGGATTAGATGCTTCCAGGATGATTGTGCCTCCTGGATAACATGGGGGGACCTCATCTGGGCAGCCCCTCCCCTAAACCAGAAGCCTCCGTCATCTACGTTCCCAGTGGCCAAATACACAGGTGGGCAGGCACTGCTCTCCTGAGCCAGAGAGGGGCATGTCTGGGGGCGGGGCTCAGGGCCAGCCCATTTCAAGTCCTGACCCGGGCCTGGTAGGCCTCACAGGTCTGTCCACTTGCTGTGCAGAGATGACTGATCCCTTCTGCGTTGGAGGAGGCCGCCGGCTCCCAGGGTCCACCAAAAGTGGACCTGGGAAGGATGGAGGCCGAAATGAGGTCCGACTTCCTGTGCTACACGACCCACCAAAGTTGGGTAAGAGGGGTCAGGCCAAGGTCAAGTCCAGGTGATCACAGGCAGCCAGTCCTGGGTGGGGGATCCCTCACTGGCTCCCAGCTCCCCAGTGGTCCAGCTCCTGGGTACTCAGCTGGGCTGCCTGGGCTCTTGAGGGCCTTCCCAGGGTGGGGGCAGCCTGGGGCCCTAAATTCTTGTCCTAGGATGACCACAATCTCCCACTCCCCACACTTCACCATGGGAGAAGCAGGGCTTACTCCAGGCCTGACCAGCCCCGTGGGTGGCAGGCAAGGCTGTGGGAAGCACAGCTTCCAGGTCTCAGCACATCATGTGTTGCAGGGATGCCGGTGGCCCGGGGTGGGCAGACAGTGTCCAGCCAGGCCCCACTGTGCTTTGACCCGGGAAGTCCAGCCAGCGACAGGACCGAAGGGAAGAAGAAGGGGCGTCCGAAAGCTGAGAACCAGGCCCTCCGAGACATTCCTGTGAGCTCCCCGAAGGCCGGGGTGGGACTCGTGCTGGGATCTGCCTCACACAGCTTGCCATGCATCCAGCCCCAAACCCTCCCCAACTGTGGCAGAGGGTCGCTCCATGCTTTAAGGCTTCATGGTGTGGCCTGGGACCTAGTGGACCACATCCGTGGGGCTTTGAGAGCTGGCCCAGTAAACCGTAGCTGCTCGGAGTGGCCTGAATCTCGCTGCGGTCCTGAGCTGGAGGGG